ATAGAATAGATCCCATTTCTTTGAAGACTGCGGTCAAAGTTCCATCTGGTAGCAATGTGGAAAGATTTGGTTATCTGCTCAGCATCGTTTTTCTGTCCTGCAGTTCAACTCTTCAGTATCCCAACTGTTAAAAATAAGTTTTAGAGATTAATTCTGATTCCTTTATTGAGAGATGAAGCAGTGATATTGAAGAAACAATAGCCACAAGGAAGTAAACTTTCTAATCTGGGACTGGGGACCTGAAGGAACAGATTTTTCAGACTGAAGTCTGGAGGGAGGAAACAGGGACAATCCTGCAGAGATCTGGCCAACATTTGGCCAGGTCTGGTTCACGCGGTTAGATGATTCTGTGAAGGTCACCCTGTTTTAATCAATGCTCTACCTCTTTCTAATGATGTTTGCTGAAGATAGTCTGTGTGTATATAGCGTTTGTATAAATTAAGACGATTTTGCATTAAGCACAATCGTGGTCCGGGGACCGGAATACAATTTTAAAGCAGTACAGCCTTGCCAACACAAAGTCTGTGACCTGGGTGAGTGTTGCAACAGAAATGGCAGGAAAGGGTCACGTGGGTCCTGGGGCAGGAACCAAGTAGTACATTGGAAGGGGAGCGAGGGAAAGGGAAAGGGGAAGAGTTAAAAAATATAAAAGGAGGGGCTTGCTCTTCGTCTTTAGAGTCATCAAGGAGATCCGTATCTGACCTGAGAGCCTGGCCTCCAGGTCAGGCATGGTAACCCCATTAGTTTTAAGAAATTGCAGACGCAAGAGTAACATTAAGTAAACCTCAACCCATCTCCTGTGTGACAAGTTGCACTTATACAGCGCCTTTCATGTAGGATGAACCCATTTTGGTTAGAGCACTCACATCACAGGCGAGAGGACCGAAGGTCGGTTCCCAGGCAGGGCAACACCATAGGCCAGTTTCCTTATTCCACATAATAAATAATAATAATCCTTGCATTTGATATAGCGCTTTTCATGTCTTCTAGACGTCTTAAAGCTCTTCACAGAATATACTGTAAAGTGAATTGACTATATATGTGGGCGAAATACATGCCTCGGTTTATCGGTAGTAAGTAGCCGGTTGTTAGTTAATTAGCGGATCACTTTTCGGGGGGTAATAACCCCTACAAAAAAATCCACAACTATTTGTGGGACACTAATGTGCCGCAATTGGCTGCCGGACTTTGCCCACAAAATATGGTCAATTCAGTTTACATCATATTCTGTGAAGCTTTGAGACATAAGGCGCTATATCAAATGCAAAGATTAACTTGAAGAAATTCACATCCTCCTCCTACCTTCGAATCCTTCTCTATCGCATCCCTTCACATTTATGCCATCTTGTCCAGTCTTATTCTCCTGCCACTCCTCAACGTTTCCCACTCCCTCCGCCCTGCAATTAGTACCTGAGCTTTCAGCCACTATCCCTCCCCTGGTCTCTGGAGCTCTCCCGAAACCCTGTGCTTGTTTGCCTACAAATACAGTCATTAAACTTGACTGTAATTCTCTGTTAAGTGCGTTGAAAACTTTCAGTGTTACAGGTTTTATATCTAACCAAGCTCTGTGCTTGGTCCCCTCCTTTTCAACATTGACATGTTCTCTCTTGGTGACATCATCTGTAGACAAGGGTTCTCTCTCCGCCTCCACCCTCGACTCCAGGACCACTGTTGGTCTCAGACTGTCTGTTGGACATCAAGCGCCTTGGGACGTCCTCCTGACGTGAAAGGCGCTTTATAAATGGAATCTTGTTGTTGTCCTGGATGAAAGCCAACTTCCTCCAGTTGAATGTCAACAAGGCCAAGGCCCTCCTGCTTGGCTCCCGTCAGCACTTCCACACTTCGGGAGCTGACAGCATCACCCTTCATGGATGCACTCTACACCTCACAAACTCAATACGGAGCCTCGGTGTCCTGTTCGACCCTCAACTGTCCTTCATTCACCCACGTCCGTGAAATGAACTGCTCCGCCTTTCCCCACCTCCGCAACATCGCACGGCTCCACTACTGACTCACACCACAGGCCTCCAAGACCCACATACATGCGTTCACAAAATCCAGGCTCGACTATGCAAACTCCCAGCTTGTTGGCCTTCCCAACCCTTCCCTCCACAGGCTGCTTATCATCCCGAACTCTGCAGCCGTGTCCTCTCCTGCACCAAGTTCTGCGACCCTATCACCCCTATTAGCCAGCTCTACTGGCTTCCCATCACACAGATACAGTTTGAGATCCTGGTCCTTGCCTTCAAGGCCCTCCACAGCCTTGCTTCTCCCTACCTCTGTGAGCTCAGTGCGCTTCGAGCTGCTTCACGTCCACCGCGCTATCCGCCCAAATGGTGGGCCTTCAGCCTCTCTGCCCCCACACTCTGGAACTCCATCCTACAATGCCTCTGCCTCGCCCCCTCTCTTGCCTCCTTCAACACCTGTCTCAAGACGGCCCTCCTCTTGGACCATGCCTTCGGTCACCCTCCTACCCCTACCCATCACTCCCTCCTGATCCCAACTACCAGCTTGGGTGCAGATCCCTGACTGTCCAGCGCCTTGGGAAGTCCTCCTGACAATAAAGGTGCTATACAAATATAATTTCCACATGCCTAATAATAATCCCTCCAAAACCAAAAACAATAATAAAAATTGGTCATTTTCAATCTACGACTGTTTGTGGGACATTGCTGTGAGCAATTGGCTGCCGCGTTCGCCCACTAATATACAGTCAATTCACTTTACAGTGTGTTCTGTGAAACGCTTTGGGACGTCCTCCCGACGTGAAAAGCGCTATATTAAATGCAAGGATTATTATTATAATTATAATTTGTTGTTGTAAGTATTATTGTTAAAACTCTCTGTTCCTCTTAAAGTGCAGTGGATGCACCACATCTTGATCTCCACATGTTAAAGTCTCAATATCTTCTTCTCTCTTGTAAGTCTAACCAGCAGATATAGATCCCCTTACCTTGAATTCCTCTGATCATCGTTCTTCAATGACCATTCTCGGCTTCACCAGTTCTTCTGATCTCAGATGGAACCGTCTCATCTCTGCCATTGCTAACGTTGCCTCTCAGAAGTTCATCGTTCACAAACGCTGATTTCATCAGCCAATAAAGCCTAAATTCTTTCAGAGCTTTAAGAATAACCCAAGGGATGGAATTAATGCTTCATTGACTTTCCAGATATCTTTAGCGATGCTGAGAATAAATGTTACCTCTCAGAGGGTCAGACCGTCTGTCGCTTACATGTCCCTAGTTTTGTATGTGGATTGTATTCCTGCAAAACTGTTGAGTATCCATTTGGGACAATCACCGGTGAGTAATACAGCATTACTAGTTCGCTCTTGGAGGTGATCTCTAGCCATCGATTATCCTGATGCAGTGACTTGTCCAAACAGTTATTGAAAAAAGCAAACCCACAATGCAGGGAGTGAAAGCAGATTCTGTCTGGGATACTTAGCTAGTGCTGCACGGGTGGAGATGACACCTGCATTTTAAAACATTAAAATACACCCGAGTCCACTTTGCCGAGCATCAAATTGGTGAAAGAGCTAGCTTGAGGTCATTACTGGATCATAGAATGTTACAGCACAGGAGGCCATTCAGACCATCGTGCCAGCTACCCAATCAGTCCCACTCCCCCACTGTTTTACCATATCCTTGCAATTTTTTCCTTTACAAGTCCCTATCCAATTCCCTTTTAAAGGTGTTATAGAATCTGCTTCCATCACCCTTTCAGGTAGTGCATTCAAGACCATAACAACTCTCTGTGTAAAAAAAAATGTCTCATCCCCCTCCAATTCTTTCGCCAATTATCTTAAATCTTATATTACATTTTTCATCTACTAATTTCCCTCTTCTCTCCTGACGACAGAGACTAATTCTGAAATATACCTCAAATCATAGTTACCTTCAAGTAACCGGATCCCAAGTGCTGCAATCCTTTTATGAATTGGTACGAGGGGACAGTATAGAGCTATTTTCCTCACGGGAGACCAAGATTTCACTGTGTTCAGGGCAACAGCATTCCTTGGATGGAGTCATGGGAAAATGATAGATGGCCCAATTTTTAGGCTCTTCCTTTTGCCCAGGCACCTGTATCTTCTGCTGGAGCCTAATTTTAATCTCAAGTATGTATTAATCTCAAGTACTGTATAAACCATTGGTTAGACCATACTTTGATACTGTGTCCAGTTCTGGTCACCACGGTACAAAAATGGATATTGGAGAAATCGAGAAGATACAGAGAGGGCAGCCAAAATGATTGAGGGAATGGAAGGACTGGACTATGAAGAGCAACTAAGTAAATTGCATGTGTTCACACTGGAAAAGAGAAGATTGAGAGGCGACATGATTGCTGTCTTTAAGATTCTAAAGGGGCAAAACAATAGATCATGACAGGCTGTTTCAACTTGTCCAGAATAATAAAACCAGAGGACACAGCATGCGATTGAAGGGGTAAATTCAGAACAAATCTACGCAAACACTATTTCAGTGAGTGGAACAGGCTCCCAGGGAGACGGTTGAAGCAGGAAGTGTTGATTCTTTCAAACACAGATTAGATAGTTTTCTTTTCGGAAATAACATTATGGGATACGGTACATAGGGAGTTTGGGACATATATGTGTGGGACCGCCAGGCAGGTGGAAGGCGAACTAGATGGACTTTTCTCATCCAGCATTTCTTATGTTCTTAGATTCTTAAGTAGATTTTATATTGTAGCAAGACCGAGGAAATGAACACAATCCGTGGGCCTTTTGCCCTGAAGGGAAACAAATGCTGCGTTGAACAAAATGAAATGAACTCAAAAAGATATTGGAACGAAAATTCAGGGTGGCTGCCTGTTGTGCAGAGGGGGTATAATTCAAGTTGTGTTCCAAATGTCTGAGCAAAGAGTAGTCACCTAGAATTCTCAATTATACTGACAAGATACCCAACAAAGAGCATTCATTCATCAATCATCAGGTACTTAATCTTCCAAAAAACACAGCAGATAACAAGTACACTTAATTACCTTTTATGTTTTATTGGTAAATTTTCTGCTATAAAAATGTAATAAATCCTACCAATACTTTGCCACAGTCATATAACTAGTCCAGAAAGAAGGAGATCAGTCTGAAAACATTGAATGGGAGGAAAGGAGAGAAGGGAAGGGAATTCTCTTCCAAGCGTCAACTACCCTGGTTGCCAAATGCACATAATACCAGGCAGTTAAATGTTTGTGAGACAAGGAGGCAATACGACGATTATTTAACATGTCTTATTTGATACAAAACATACACTACACAATACACAGTAATAAAAGTATATTTTCTTCACTACAATGTACTACTACCTGCATCATTTGCTGAAATTAGCTGGTGTGTATGTACCAATCTGAGCTCAAGTCCACTCTCAGCACAGAGTACCCAACCCAGGGAGGAGGCTTGTCAGCCAGCCCTCAGAAATCCTGTCGGATATTTTCTTTGTTTTCATCTCCTTGCTGCTGTTTCATCTGGTTTATCTCGTTCTCCAGCTGGACGATGGCTCGTTCGATCTCGTAGTTCTTGCTAACTAATGCGACCCAGCTGAAACACAACAAAGTGATGGGAGGCGGAAGTTAGTAGCCGTCTAAATTTGCACGTGTTTGAACACAGCGTTTGAATACAGTGTTGGTTAGTCTATTTCAACCAACTCCTGGCACATCCACGTTTCCCAGCACATTTGGAGCAGAATTAACAAATTCTTTAAATGTTGAAAAATGCAGCTAACGTCAATTCCTGAGGCTCTCTATAATCATGCCTTTTGAATATCAGCAAAGTCACATCCAAAGCAAAGTTCCTTTCTTCCCATTAACCTGCAATGCAGGTTCAACGCATTGGGACATCCTCCTGACGTGAAAGGCGCTATACAAATGTAATTTTGCATTTTGTATTTTAATGCTGTTACAACTTGCACAAAGACCTATAGTTCCTGCAATGTCAGTTTCAGCCAGGCCATCTCTGGATAGCATCCACGAGCAGCAGGGCAATAAAGAACTCCTCCAGGCCACTCAGCACATTAAGTACAGTGTTGCCTGAGTACTGACTGCACCAAGGCCAGACCAATAATGCCAGCAAATCAATCCTGAAGGATGGAAAAACAGATTATTTCAGGAAGAGCAAAAAAAAAGTCTGGATAATGTTGGATTCAAACAGTTATTAATTGACACAGTACTTTCCAGAGAAAAACATTACTGGTTGCTTGCTCCTTTAATAGATACAATGAACAATCAATATAACCTTGACGAGACTCATTTCTAATAAGAGTTTTTTTTACAAAGAATCTCAAACTGCAGCCTGATCCCTGCTAGTTTATGAGAGTAAGGAAACTGCAGGAAAGTCACACAGGGAAGTCGCACATTAAGAACAGAATGATTGCTATCACAGCAAGAATCAGAGCATTTCAGCACAAGAAATACAGCTTCACAAGTGTTAGCAATGTGTTCCGAACTCGGGCTAACAGACTCATGCACCACTCACTATCGTTTAACATTTTCACCACGTGCTAGGTATTCTTAACAACGCCAAAGAAAAATCCTAGTAGAAAACAGTTAAGTTCTAACCCTCTATCCACTCTAAAATACCTCTCTCAACTACCTAACACTATATTGTGGCTGCAGAGACATGAAGAGTAGCAAACTGTAACCTCAGCCGCTTTATACAGCCTTCAGAACACTGCATGCTTGCATCACCAGATCTCCGGCTTCATGTATTCAGGTAAGTATTGCAATCACTATAGAGTTTCAAAAACATGGGAAATTAAAGGTTATGAATTTTTAAAACAGGATTTCAGCAATATGAATATAAAGTGTCATACTTAGATAATGAAAAAATGAGGGTAAAAAAACACCAACTGCGGAAGCGGTCTCAAGGCTCCTATAGACAGTACTTGGCCAATTGCCAAATCAACAAGAGTTTCAAATGCTTTATGAGAACATGTTATTTACTAAGTTTCCAGACATCATCAGTCAGAGCATCAGTCACTTACCTAGATATTATAATGGAGAGATGGGGGTAAATAACAAGGCTGCAATTTAACTGAGAGGTTCGGATCCAATTTTTGAAATGCAAGGACAAACCTGGAGCTGTTTACGGACATCTGCACCAAGTTTAAATTACAGTCTTTCATTAACTCTACAGTACCTTTATTGGATTTATTGGATTTATGTTCTAAATAAAAGAGTAATAATGGTAATGGCTGTTAATGTGCCACAATAACCTTGACTGAAGCCTGTAAAAGCACTGATATAATCACTAGCCACATGGCTCAAAGAACGTTAGAATAAATAAATTATTTTCCATTGGGGAAGAAAAATTATTGTACAACTGGAGACCATTATAACACTTAATTATTCCGACATAATGTTCCTCTCAACCACTCTCCACCCCCCAAACACACCATTTTCTTTTTCATCTCCAGCTACCCCTGGGTGAATCTCATTTCCTCTGACCTTCCAGTTAATCCTCTTAATCCCTCTGTATTCCCCTTTTCATCTTGTGTGAATTAAAATCCATCATCAACTCACAGCAGCTGTGTCAGCACATTCCACCCCATTTTCGGGCATGCACAGATCTTAACCTACCAGTGGTCCTTTTCACACTGGTGAATGAATCACCCAAATGTCCTTCATGCATAGTTATTCATCAAGTAAAATGTCCAACATTATCACAATCAGACACTTTGATTCATTTCTCAAGCTTCCTACCTTTGACAATTATTTCAGTGACACCATTAAACCTCTCAGAAGCACTGTGAGACGTCTTGATGACAGGATCAGGAGCTATATCAAATGCAAGGATTATTATTATCATTGCCTCTTACTTTTACCCCAGTAGTATGCAAACTATTACATTTCACGTTTGTTTCTTCTCAGTCGACATCCGATTTGTATCCAGTTCTTTTTGAGGGCCACTGTCCCCACCCGAGCACCACCATTTCCTGTGGTCCCACATCCTCAGATCTGCTCCATGTCACAGGCCCCTGCACTGGTGAACAAGCATTCAACCGGTTTGCCATCTCTGCAACTCTTGTGTCTTTTTAAAAAGTCATTTTTGGGGATATAGTTTCAGTTTATTTTTATCATTTTTTTGAGTTCTAAAGTTTTGGGGGGTTTCACTTTCAGATTCAAACACATCTGTGCAAATGGAGGGGAGAGAAGCGTGTGTACACAGTGCCCCCCCTCACGTTTGTGAGTGGAGTGAGGCACTGCGTATGAATGAGAGGCATCTCTCCCCACCTTGTGTGCAGGGGCACCTGGTGACGTGTTTGTGAGAGGAGGGGGTCACTGTGTCCTCACACATGCCCAGTGAACGTCAGGACAGGTAACGACATACAGAGTTTTTGGGTGTTTAATGGATATACACCAATTTCTTTTTTTGTGTCGAGGGTGTTTTTAAAATCGGGAGTGTTTCAGTTAAACCCACAAAAACCATAAACCCTAATTATACCTTGGGTTACCTCCCCATACCCGTTACTCCCAACCTGCCGGGGCTCAGACTCAAAAGTGATGTCTAATAGTGCTTCTGAGAGATATATACAAATGTAATCTTGTTGTTGTTAATGGTGTCACTGAAATAATCGGCAACAGTAGAAAGCTTGAGAAGTGAATCAAAGTGTCTGATTGTGATAAGATGTGTTCTGAGGTGAATCCCTACATAAAAGGTGTTATATAAGGGTAAAGTAGATGTTAATCATGTGAGTTTAGGAGAAAATTGCAACATCTAGCCATTAACTCACTTGGATTCCATTTCTCGTAGTTTACTGCCTGCAGCCAGCTGGTCATTCTTCCTCATCCAATTCAAGTCTTGAATTTGTTTCCTGAAACAAAGGGACAATATATTAAATACATAAAGTAAAATTTCAACAGCACAATTTCACCAACACTTCACACACACCAGGTGCCATATTGGGTTATGGGATCAGATGACCTAATCGCATAAAAGGTGATCATTAATTTTTATTCTGTTGATAATTGTTTTAATGCGATAAGATGCTATAAAAATGCAGGATTTTTTCTGTAACTCCACAATCTCGCAATGAGGTCGATAGAGGGAAATCTGTCCTTTCACATTGTGAAAGAAACCCACAGATAGCTAGGCTGTGGAGAATACCAGCGGCGAGAGGAGGGGAGGGGAGAGACGCACCAATTACAAAATAAGACAACCTCACCTCAGCCTTTGGAGTTCCTTTTGAGCATTTTCAATCATCTGGACCAGGTTACTAATAGTGAGAGAGGAATAGTGAGTTCTATGATAGTGAACAACATTTTATTTAGCATCAACTGACTGATGTGAACCATAATTACATGATTGCTAGTTCTACACCAATTTTCAGTGAGACTTGCAAGTCTCAGTGAAATGGGATGGGTCCGTCAATGGGGCAATGAGAAACAGTCAAAGAGCTGTGAAATTTCATAAAGTCATGGAATCATACAGCACAGAAAGAGGCCATTCGGCCCATTGTGTCTGCGCCGGCTCCGAAAAGAGCAACCCAACTCAATCCCACTGGCCTGCTTTCTCTCCATCGCCCTGCAATCCTGTCCTCCCCAAATACCCATCTACTTCTCACTTAAAAGTTGTTAGTGAATCGGTTTCCACTACCCGTTCAGGTAATACATTCCAGATCCCAACAATTCACTGGGTGAAACTAACTTAAATCGGTGTCCTCGGGTTACTGACCCACCTGCCAGTGGGAACAGTTTTTCCCGGTTCAACCTATCAAATCCTCTCATGATCTTGAAAACCTCTATTAAATCCCCTCTTAATCTTCTCTGCTCTAGGGAGAATAATCCTAGTTTCGCTAACCTCTCCTCATAACTGAGGTCCTTCATTCCTGGAACTATCCTGGTAAACCTCCTTTGCACCCTCTCCAATGCCCTAACATTTTTGCTAAAGTACAGTGCCCAGAACTGAACTCAGTCTAACCAACATTTTATAAATATTCAATATAATCTCCTGACTTTTGAATTCGATGCCTCTATTTATAAAGTCTAGTATCCCGTATGCTTTTTTAACAGCTTTATCTACCTGTCCTGCCACCTACAGAGATTTGCTTATGTGGACTCCCAAGTCTCTCTGTTCATTTGCCCTCTTTAAGATTGTACCATCAGCTTTTACTGCCTCTACTTATTCTTCCGACCAAAATACAACATTTTACATTTATCCACATTAAACCTCATCTGCCACATTTCTGCCCATTTTACCAATCTGTCTAAGTCCTCTTGGAGTCTGGTGCTATCCTCCTCACCATTAACTACGTTTCCTAGCTTAGTATCGTCTGCAAATTTGGAAATTGTGCTCCATATATCCAGGTCCAGATCATTAATATAGATCAGAAAGAGTAGTGGTCCCAATACCAATTACTTCTCTGTACTTCCTATATTCTATTTGATTATCCTGCGTTTTGGACCTGACATTTGTCATAAGCCTCCTTCTTCTGTTTTATTTTAATCCCAATTTCCTTAGTCATCCAAGAAGGTTTGACTGTCCTACCTTTCCCCTTTGTGGGAATATATTTGCTCTGTCCCCGAATTATTTCCTCCTTGAAGGCTGCCCATTGTTCGTTTGCTGTCTTACCTGCCAATTTTTCTTTCCAGTCTATCTTGGCCAGGTCCCTCTTTAGCTCATTGAAATTAGCCCACCTCCATTTGAGGGTCTTTACCTGTGATTGATTGTTGTCCTTTTCCATAACTATTCTAAACCTAATGATGTTGTGATCACTGTTATCCAGATGCTCTCCTACTGAAACCTGCTCCACTTGCCCCACTTCATTTCCCAGAACTAAATCCAGCTCTGCTTCCTTCCTCGTTGGGCTAGAAACATGTTGATCCAGAAAGTTCTCCCACACACATTTCAGGAATTGCTCCCCTTCCTTGCCCTTTACACTGCGCGTTTCCCAGTCTATGTGAGGATAATTGAAAAAATCCCCCATTATCACTACTCTATTGGTTTTGCATCTTTCCGAAATCTGCTTCCGGATTTGCTCATCTGCTCATTTGCTCATCTATCGCCTTCCCACTATTTGGAGGTCTATAGTAAATACCTAAGAGTAATTCTAATCAAATAGATTGAGTTTTTGGACCCTCTAACACATCGTCTTTTTCCAGGACTGTGACCGTGTCCCTAATGAGTATTGCACCCCTCTTCCTTTTGTCCCTTCCCTATCCCTCCTGAATAGGTTGTAGCCAGGAATATTCAGCTCCCATTCCTGTTCTTGCTTGAGCCAAGTCTCCGTAATTGCCACTACATCATAACCCCATGTGGCAACTCGAGCCGCAGCTCACCAAGCTTACGTCACGCTTCGTGCATTTACATACATGCACTCCAAGACCGGCTTAATCCACTCTACATTTCTCCCCCATCTTTTTCCAGTTTGCTGGACTATTCCCTGTTTCATTTCTATTTGTCTCTCCTCGTCCACTATGTAACCCGTTTCCCCTCGCTGATGCTACATTCTGATCCCAACTCCACCCCCTCAAAATCAGCTTAAACGCTTCCCCACAGCATTTGTTATCCTTGTTGCAATGACATTGGTCCCAGCCCTGATCAGCTGTAACCCATCCCTCGTGTACAGGTCCCATCTGCCTCAGAAGTGGTCCCAGTGGTTTAGAAACCTGAAGCCCTCCTTCCTGCACCATTTCTCCAGCCAGGCATTCGTGTGTTGAATGCCTGACTGGCGAAATGGTGCCTAGCACATAATTTTTCAAACACTTTTTTTAAACAATATCTGACTCACAAAGACACTATTTCTTCCACCAAACTCACAGACAGAACTACCATGAGATTATATTAACAACCACATGCAAAAATTAATCTTTGTAGGTATATTTCGGAGGCCTTCTGGGTACTCCCAGCAAACATGCAATGTAAAATCAATCACAAAGTGTACAGTACTCCATAATGTTTTCATTTTAATAATCCTTAACTCAGCTGCTTTTTATTAGTAATAATAATAAACCTTGCATTTGATATACAGGAAAACATTACTCCACTACCGGACGTATGATCTGGGAGTGTTCACACACCCATCCATCTTTTGAACTGCTGGCAAAGTTGTTGAATTCTTGAGGCTGCAGTATTTATATAGGGGCTGATCAGGAAGAAAACTCAATAATAATTCCAGAATTTGATATAGCATCTTATCACTTCTTCGAGATGTCACAAAGCCCTTCACAAAATATATTGCAAAGTGAATTGACTAAATTTTGTGTGAAAACACGGCAGGCAATTGCGCTCAATAGTGTCTCACAAATAATGGTGGATTGAGTGACCAAATTATCATTACCCCCCAGAAAACCGCCAATTGACTAACACCCGGGTTCCTACTTATTGCTAGGTAAACAGAGGCGTGTGGAGTAAGGAAAGTTACCCAACGTTTTGCCCTCCCAGGAATCGAACCCAGGTCCTCTCGCTCGCGAGGTGAGTTCGCCCACTCAGAAGGTTGTGGGTTCAAGCTCCACATTGGGGTCTTGAAATCATATCGTCTAAGTTGACACTCCTATGCAGTACTGGGGGTATCTTCCATTGTCGGAGGGCCGTGCTTCAGATGAGACATTAACCCGAGGTCCCATCTGCCTGTTCAGGTGGATGTTAAAGATCCTGTGAAACTATCCAAAATGAGAAGGGAGTTTCTCTCTCCTGGTGTCCTGGCCAACAACTCCCAAATAAAATTGGTCACTCGCTCCACGACTGTTTATGGAACATTGTTCAAAGTTCTGATATGTTACTTGAACCCACAACATCGAGTCCTGTGGCTTAGTGGTTAGAGCACTCACCATGCAAGTGAGAGGACCTGATTCGATTAAAGTTGTTTGACAACAACATTGTCCGGGCAGCGCAAAACATTGGGCAAGTTTCCTTAGTCCACACTCCTCTGTTTACTGAGCAGTAAATAGGAACCCAGTTGGGGGATTGCTTTTCCGGGGGAAATAATCTCCTCAAAAAAAAATATGAATTTGGTCACTTAATCCATGACTATTTATGGGACACTGTGTGCGGAATTGACTGCCGGATTTCGGGCACAGGATATAGTTGTTTCACTTTACATTTTGTGAAACATTTTGAGATGTCTCGAAGATGTGATAAGGCGCTAAATCAAATGCAAGATTTATTATTATTACATTCTGATCCAGAGCATTACTAACTGGAAACATACTTCATTCAGATCTTATAAATGGCCAAATTTCTGCCTGGATGAATGGCTAGTAGCAGGATTAGACTAGCAACTGTTGGGGTACACAGCATAGGTTTGTTGATGTAGGTAGGGAGGGACAATAAGAGATGGTGCAACAATCACTGTGCAATTCAGTTACTGTGTTGGTTTTGACTGATTCAAATCATTATAAAAGATGTTGGTAAGCGTCATGTGAAGGGTCACTGGATTTGACGACTCGTTATAATTTTGTAAAGCGTTGATAGACAAAAGCCACTTACTCATTATAAACTTTCCACGCGTTTGAGCCATGCTGGGACATTAGCTCCAGGTTCTCGATCCTCACGGCCTGATGCTCCAGCTGTGCCATTGAGTTGTTGACGCACTCCTGCCAGGCGGTGATGTCGTTCTTCTGTCCTGAGGATGGGGCAGGCAGCTCATACCTGTAAGGGGCAAGAGACAGGAGCAAGAAGGTAGGAAAGAAAATCAATCTAACTGAAGGAACGCAGAATGGGCACCAAGCCGCACAATTGTGTTCAGTGTTCAGTGAGAGTGAAGCAAACAGCAACAAAATGACAATTGTATATCACCTTTCACAGCGGGAGGATGTTCCAAGGCGCTGGACAGATAGAGTTATGGACCCGAGCTGGGGGTCGGGGTGGGGGAGGGTAGAGGGTAGGGGGGAAAGCAGGAAGATCAAAAGCACAGTTGAAGAGGAGGGTCTTGAGGTGGGTCCTGAAGGTGGCAAGGGAGGGGGCGAGACAGAGGGACAGCAGGATGGAGTTCCAGAGGGTGGGTGCAGAGTGGTGGAAGGCCCACCCGCCAATAGTGGGGCGAGCAAGGCGGGGGGCGTGAAGCAGGCCAGAGCCGTCACACCCCCTCATAAATGAACCACATTACTGAGTTGAACAGACAAAGGAAAGTCTTGTGCTGAGTTACCTAATCCCACTGAGAATGCCTCTTCCCGCCTGCACTCCAGTCCCACTTGCCACCTGGACTCAAGTGCCAACCAAATTAGGTGAGTTAATGGCAACTCAATGGCTGTAGATTGACAGTTATCTTTGATATCAGCAAAGGGGATGGATGCTTTGCTGCAATCTGCTGGACAGAACAGCGCAGCACAGGTGGTGGTTTGGCTGGAATTCCACACTTACAATGCCACATAAGTTGGAAGGACATTTCAATACAGATTGTTATCATCACAAAAAGTACTCAGAATAGATTAGTGTGCTGCATGGGGGAGAGTAGGAGGGGGAAGAGAGAGCGAGAGAGGAGAGAGAGAAAGAGAGAGAAAGAGTGAAGCGAGAAGACTGAGAACTAAATAAGTATTTGGAAAAACTATTCCAAGTACAGGGACTTTACTGTCAATATCTGGTAACTATTTTACACAGAGTGGCTAAGTCAAGCTATAGCTGTGGCACCAATTAATACACAATAAAATATAAAATGACATTTGTACAGCGCATTTCACGTCGGGAGGACATCCCAAGGCGCTGGGCTAATATTTCTACAAAGAAAGCAAATGTTCATTGCAGTCAATGTCCTAAGTGATCTTTTGCTTCGGATACATTATTTAAGCAGCATATTGCATGAGTTAAGGTAAAGAGATTGGAAGGAAACATAAAACACCAATTACTGGTCATTTGAAGATTCAAGGACACATTTGAAGATTTGAACATAGAGCAAATTCAACACTAGCAAACTATATCAGAAAATAATTAAAAAGGACATTTCCAAATAACCACTTCAATACTAAATCTGTGGACTCACCTTTTCATACTGAGCAGTTCCATTGGCTGCCGAGCTGCTAGACGCTCAAACTCATTCCTCATTATCTCAGTCTGCAAAAAGTTTGGTTTAAATATACATTAATTCCTAATCACATACAATGTTTATGTAGTGCAGATTCAATGCATTGCACAAGATGAAAAGGTGAAAAGATGAAAGGGTGTGCGCGTGCTAAACCTATATTTTCCATAATGGAGGTAACGCAAGAAGAAATGTGTAATTTTTGGCTTGTTTGTTGCTCTAAACAACACAATGTATAATCTTTCTAAAAGAAAGGTTTTACACAGTGGGTAATTAATGACTGGAACATTACCTGGGAAGGTGATAAGAGGCCATGGTACCCAATTCATTTAATCAACAGCTTGATGCTCGGGTCCAAATCCCCTGACTGTCCAGCGCTTGGGATGTCCTCCTGATGTGAAAGGTTGCTGTGTAAATGTAATTTGTTGTTGATACTGCAATGGGTGGGCAGCAGGATGGGTATTTTGGAATACTAAGGTCAAATGGAGAGCTTTCTCTATTGAAACCACTCTGTCAATTTGTTTGTCTTGTCCTGGCTGGACCTATGTTGTTATGTTTTTATTTAATATTGAGCAGGTACAGTTTCTGTAAATTTATCTTCAAACCATTTTAAAAAGGGAATCGAAGTAACAAGCCGTGAACCTATTGCCAATCCCATTAGCTTGAGCTAAAATATTCTTCTTCTACTCCCTACCAAAAACTCACTGTCTGACCCATTTTTCCAAATGGTCACATGGATATAGAAAGCCCAATCTCTTCTAATACCTGATGCCTTTTGGCACATCCCATTCATCTCTGTCGTCAACACCAGATTAGAATAATAATCCATGCATCTGAGATAGAGCCTTTCCACATCAGGATTTACTGTACAACAACTTGCACTTCTATAGCGCCCTCCACACAGGGCAGGTGGATGGTGGAGCCTGACTCCAAGCCGGGGGCAGATGGGGGGAGGGACAGGTGCCGGACACTACAGTGTCAGCACTACACTGTATTGTAATGACAGCATTTCTTGGTAAAGGCGGCGGACAGTTTGCAGTGCTCCCCAAACAATGAAGAGAATGAGTGATTATCTGGGGATTTTCAACCAGGCCACTTCATTCACTTTTCCAATAATACCATGAGATCTCATTGTCCACTTAAACAGGCAATGGGACCTGGGTTTAACATTTCATCTGAAGGACAGCACCTCCAACAATTCAGCGCTCCCCCATCTCAGCCTAGACTGAGAGTTTAAAGTTCTTATGTGGAATCTACAACCTTCTACCTCAGAGCCAAGCATGCTCCTACACTTTACAGTAAATCCTGTAAGAGGTTTTGATGATGTGATAGAATAGGCAAATATGGTAACATAAATTTAAACCCAGGGATTTCCTAGGATTTCTGATTGCTTCTGATGTACCGATTTCTGTTAATGGAATGTATTAAAAGACTTGGACATCACTAAGAATGTAATGAGAAGATGCAGATGGCGTGTTCAGGCTACAGCTCCACATACTCACTTCAAACGCCGAATAGTCAGGTGTAGGCAAATAGCTCAGGTAATTTTTCGTAGGTCGATATCGCCTGGTTTCTTCCTCCACCAGTGCAGCTGCCTAACAGATAGAAAGTGGGGGAAAAAAAGTTGTGAGATCGGAGGCACAAATGAGCATTTCTGCCCAACACTGCTCAATATTGCCCAATTATTCTAAAGGCAAAATGCTGGAAATCAGAAATAAAAACAGAAGCCGCTGGGAACACTCAGCAGGTCAGGCAGCATCTATGGAGAGAGGAAAGTGAGTTAATTTTTCAGGTCGATGACCTTTCGTGACAAAACCTTTTTTTTATTGCCCAACTATTCTTTTCCACTGCTTTTCTCTAAACCGATGCCTTAAAGCGTTCACAGAATATTAATTCTATTTTTAAAAAAATAGAAAAATGTGGTTAATCAATGCACAAGTCGTTTTTTAAATTTTCTTTGAAGGCTGACTATTCAGTACAATGTGGGGGGCGGCGAGGGTGGGGGGGTGTTATCCCAGGTAAAGGGAGTTGATAATTTTAGAAAACTCATGAATCTTTTAACAAGTTTTTTGCTTGAGTGATTTTTTCAATGAAAGCACTGAGTCAATTAGCCAATCAAAATGCAATTACCTGGTTAGAGGTTTGTCAGCTAAATGATGAATCCCAAAGATACCGCCATAACATGCTTTCAAATTGCAAAAAAACACCAAATTTAGTAGCTGGAGAATAGCCAGACGATCCCAGCTGCTGTCTTGTAAGATTTAACCTACTGTAAATGCATATTTTTATATTAAAATAAATCTGTTGAGTTTTGGATTAGTCATATTGGTTACAAGACTGCACTTTATAGTCCATGGATCTCATTTCTGCTTTCATTGTCTAATAAGTCTAAGATAAATTTGATCAGACCCATTTATATTGGTATGTAAAATCCTTCAGCTGCAAAAGAACAGCCAGTGTAACAATGTTATCTGTTGGAAATAAGTCTAATTGCAATCACACTTGAAAATGTGATTGACAACTGCTAAATCCCTTCTGCAAAAAAAACAATCCTCCGAACCATGACTATAATAAAGCCCACTATAAATGTAATTATGCTGTGCGGTCCAGGTTTAAAATAAGCTCTTATTTCATTTCTCATCTCTCCAGGTGTTGAATTTAGCAAACATCACAGCAGGAGGATAAATAACTTTGGGGGTAAAGAGCATCAGTATGCTGTCTTTTTTTCCATCTCATTTCTAGCTTTGAATCCAGTCCAGGCTGACAGAACAAAAAGACCTTGTTGGCAGCTCTTCAGTCAGCACAAAATGAGTGTGGTGTTGGCTCCACTCCCACTGGACACGAGCTCACAGCACCAGACTGCCCACTGAGAGTACGAACTGACAATCTCGCTCAGAGGCTCGGCACAGATGGCAGTGTGGGAACTGTTAATGCCACAGGTGAGAGGGAGATGGCTAATTGTCAATTGTTGAGGGCTGAACACCAAACTGATTTATTTGGCCAATACAGTAAACACCCAGCTCCAGGTATTTGAATGAGGGTGAGTAATTACACCTTGGTTTCAAGATCCTCACACTCATTTTTAAATCCCTTCATGCCCTGGCATCTCCCTACCTCTCCGAGCTGTCTAACCCCCCCCAATCCACAGCCTCTGGCCTCCTGCATGTCTCCCATTCCACCATCGGCAACCGCTATACCATTACACCCCAAAACGCTGGAACATCTCTTTCTTGATCTCTCCTCCTTACCCCTTCCTTCCCCATTTTCGGGTCACACCTGAAGACCTTCCTATTTAATCATGCCTAAGGTCACCTCCACTCCCCGGGCTCGGCGATGTGCTCCGCCACTGTCAAGCGCTCTGGGACACTACTGTGCGTGAGGGCGTATATAATTGCGAGTAGTTGTTGTTTACATGCAGTGCCGGTAAATGCCAGCATATGCATTAACAGCATTTTCTGGCACTACCTATGCATTTTTTGCATTACTGACATTTTAATTACGCTTAGCTGGAAATTCCAGCTCAAACTGGATCTCCCCTCATTAGTTCAGCTACCTGGGGTTTTATCTGTACAGAACTGTATCTGAATGATCTTCCTGACATCACTGCTGAGTGCTTAAAGTGACAGCCTCATCAAAAGAAGAAGTATGATTCATGACAGAAATTATTTTTGCTTCATCTGAAGATTTATCTCAAATCATAAGAACAACAACAAAATTACATGTGTATCGTGTTTTTCATGCCAGGAGGATGTCCCAATGTGCTGGACTGTCAGGGATCCGCACCCAAGCCGGTAGTTGGGATCAGGAGGGGTGGAGGGCAAGGTATGAGGGTGACTGAACGCTCGGTTGAAGAGGAGCATCTTGAGACGGATCTTGAAGGAGGCAAGGGAGGGAGTGTGGCCAAGGGACTGTGGGATGGAGTTCCAGAGAGTGGGAGCAAAGGGGTTGAAGGCCCACACACCAATGGTGAGGAGGGCAAGGCAGGGGACGTGTATCAGGCTGGAGTTCGCTGAGAGGTGGGAGCAAACTGGTTGGTGGAGTTTAGGAGGTCACAGAGGATGAGGGTCTCGGCGGCATGCAATGAGACAGTGGCAGAGCTGTGCGGTGTTACGGAGGTGAGGAAAGGCGGAGCGGATCGTGGCACATATGTGGGGTATGAAGGACAGTTGAAGATCGAACAGGACACCGAGGTTCCAATTTGGCTCCATGAGGTGAACAGTGCATCCATGAACAGTGTTGCTGTCAGCGCCCGAAGTATGGAGGCACTGACGAAAGCTAAGCAGGAGAATCTGAGTGTCGTTGACATTCAACTGGAGAAAGTTAGCTCTCATTCAGGACTTGATATCCGACAGGACAGCATTGGAGCGGAGGGCGGAGGCAGAGAGTTAGAGTTGAGTGTCATCTGCATACATGTGAAAGTTGACAGATGATGTCACCAAGAGGGAGCATATAGCTGTTGTAGAGGAGGGGACCAAGGACAGAGCCCTGAAGAACGCCGCACAAGATGGTCCGGGGGCCGGAGGAGAAGCCATTAGTGGAGATGAAGTGGAGATGGTGTGAGAAGTACGATCTAAACCACTCAAGGGCAGGTCCGTGAAGGTTGAGCTGAGAGGAGGTGGAGGAGGATAGAATAGTCGACAGTGTCGATGCCAGCAGAACTAAATTAAATGCATGGATTATTATTAAAATGAATAAAGAATTGATTACATGCTCTCCTATTGGTGGAAGCCAGCTTGGATGCCAGCGCTTTTAGATTACATTATCACCTGACAGTCCTTTTTAGCTGACAGTCCTTTATCCAGACATTTACATTCTGATACCTTCATGGTTTTGATAATGAAATTTTCCTAAGGAAAAGGCCCAGTGTAATTTCAACATCAATTAATAACGATCCTGGTAAATTTCAATGATTTTCAATTACACCTACCACAATGTTTGTCAGATTGCAATGACACTACTTGGCACAGAAGAGTTGTAATAAACCATGTATTTGATGAAACGTCTACACCAATGCTCTCAGTAACAGCTACAATAAACTGACTGCTGTGTGTCGCCCACAGTTAATCCACTTTACACTATATCCTGTGAAGGGCTTTGAGAGATCTCAATGGTCTTACCTGATAAGGGGCTATATCAAATGCAAGGATTATTATTATCCACCTGAACAGGCAGCTGGGACCATCTTTCAAACATCTCATCCAAAGTATGGTACCTTGAGCATTGCACTGGAGTGTCAGCCTGGACTGTGAGCTCAGTCAACCCACCCCCTCTGTCTACCTCTAATCTGCCTTGTCACTCACTCACTCACTCACGCTCTCTCTATACCATTAAAGCCCTCTCCACCCTTACTCCTTTTCTGATAATAAATAATAATCCTTACATTTAATACAGTGTCTTTCACAACAGGATGATGTCTCAAACTACTTTACATGATTCACTTGTGTGTTTTTGTAGATGAATACAGCAGCCAAATTGCTCACAGCAGTATCCCACAGTCATGAACATAATAATAATAAGCCTTGTATTTGATATAGTGCCTTGTCACGCCATTGAGACATTTTGAAGCGCTTCACAGAATATACTGTAAAGTGGATTGACTGTGTATTTTGTGAACAAACACACCATCCAGCTTGCTCTCAGCAGTGTCCCACAAACAGTCATGGAACTAGCGACCAATGTTTTTCTCTGGGAGATTGTTTGCCAGGACACCGGGGGGGTGGGGGGGAGAGAGACTCCCATCTCTTTTCTAATAGCACTGCGGGATCTTTAACATGTACCTGCACAGGCAGAGGGGGCCTTGGGTTAACGTCTCATCAGAAGGACGGCACATCTGACAATTAGAGCGAGAGAACCCCCACCTCCATCACATCCTCACCACCAGCACCAACCTCCCCACCCCCCCACCTCCTCACCACCAGCACCAACCTCCCCACCCCCCCACCTCCTCACCACCAGCACCAACCTCCCCACCCCCCCACCTCCTCACCACCAGCACCAACCTCCCCACCCCCCACCTCCTCACCACCAGCACCAACCTCCCCACCCCCCACCTCCTCACCACCAGCACCAACCTCCCCACCCCCCCACCTCCTCACCACCAGCACCAACCTCCCCACCCCCCACCTCCTCACCACCAGCACCAACCTCCCCACCCACCCACCTCCTCACCACCAGCACCAACCTCCCCACCCACCCACCTCCTCACCACCAGCACCAACACCCCCACCCACCCACCTCCATCACATCCTCACCCCCCGCCCCCCAGCGCTGCACTGACAGACGATGTGATTCCAAGTCCTGATGTGGAATTGAACCCACGACCTCCTGCCTGAGAGGCTCTCGAGGCTCTCAGTGAGTCAGGCTGACACCCCCCCCCTCCCGGTACAGGCCCCACTGGCCCCCTCCGCGCCGCTCCCCGGGGGCACAGGCCAGAGGGGCGGCCGCTGCCCCGCGTTTCCCATCGCTGCTCCCGCACTTACCGCCTCCCGCACTCCCGGCGCGTCGTAGCCCTGGTCAAAGTAGGGCAGCGCGTCCACCACCACATCGCCCGCCACAGCCAGCGGCCCCGCCATCTTACCCCGACACACTGCGCCTGCGCGGTTTCCCTCCACACACTGCGCCTGCGCGGCTTTCCTCCACACACTGCGCCTGCGCGGCTGCCCGCCACACACTGCGCCTGCGCGGTTTCCCTCCACACACTGCGCCTGCGCGGCTGCCCTCCACACACTGCGCCTGCGCAGTTTCCCTCCACACACTGCGCCTGCGCAGCCTCACCCCGCCCCCCCCCCCAACGCGACATACGCGCTGCGCCTGCGCAGTTTCCTCCTCGCCCTCACGCCCGTTAGTCAATGTGACTACATTTTGGGCGGGTTTCACGCCCCATTGGGCGGGTTTTTGGTTGTGGTTTTAAAAACTGCTTCAGGCGGGTACCTAACTTTTATAATAATATATATATATATATAATTCACCCCCCACTCCCCTCCCCCTCTGACTAACCTTCCACTGTTCGCTCTGCTGCCCCATTAATAGGTAACACATAAGTCATTATTATTGTTGTTGTTGTTGTTGTTGTTGAGCCTCCCTGAGCCGCGGGCAGCACCGGGACAGTCCCGGGGACGGGGAATCCTCCCACTCAGCTCCTATTCACCCCACAGCCAACCGTGTATATATGGTGTAAAGCTGAGGCCCAAGACCAGAACCCCGGGGAACAACACTCGTCGTGTTCTCCGCACTTGGCATTTTTGCTAATAACCTCTTGTGTGGAACCATATCAAATGCAAAGGCGATAAGAGAGTTCCCCAAATCTGGTGAGAGGGACAGTGCAGGTGCTGCTGTGACTGCTGGGGCCAATTTGGAGCTATTCACTGTAACCTGACAACTCGACCCATGCGGTCAGCTTGGCTTAATGGATAGCATTCTGGCCTTTGGGTCTGAAGGTTGTGGATCCAATGCCCAACGCAGTGATCTGAGTTGACACTCCAGTGAAAGAGAGTCGTTGGTAGTGCTGTCCTTCATCTGAAATGTTAAAACCGAGGTCCCGTCTGCCTGTTCAGGAGGACGATAAAGATCGCCTGACACTATTGGAAAAGAGCAGGGAGTTCCTACCTGTGTCTTGTTTAACAATCCCCCAGAGTAATGGTTATTCACCTGCTTTCGGATGCTGCTTGATGTTGGCAGTTGCACACATGCTACGGTCCTGCTCCACAAGCTCCTGAATGGGAAACACTTCACTAATCATTGGTGCTTCTAACGCTCAGTGTGTCTCTGGCTATGCACAGGCTGACCATTCAACCTAGTTACAGACATTCTGTCTGTCAATCCTCTGAGCCCAGAGAGATGACAGACTGATAGCTGCAAGGAGGGCATGAATAATAAATTATCTCAGTTGACTAGTCACGACACTAGATTTTTCACAGATTGCTGCAAAGCACGGATGCAGTCAGACTCAATCACATCCAGGAGGAACGTCTGAGATACTGAGAGTACATTTCCATCGTCTTGACAGATCAGCCAGTGCTCTGCTGACTTGACACACCAGCAAATTCCTTGTTATAGGAAAGAAAGAACTTACATATTTTTAGTGCATTAATATTTAAGCTACCTTCTCGTTTCCAATAGTGCCGCAGGATCATTAACGTCCATCTGAACAAGCAGAGGGCACCTCACCCCTTTGATCTTGTGCTTAACAGTCATCTCTGTGTAAACTGTCATTGCTTCACAAAACATTCTGTGTGTTCAGCTCACAACATTGTCGCACTGGGAATAAACCGGGACAACATACATTAACAGGAGGTCAATACCAAACCAAGACCTGAAACTGATAATTCATTCACCGTTGACAATCGCATTGAATTTTCACCTCACCCACCACTGAAATAAAATGGAAAATTTTGGGAATTTATTTGTGAAAAAATAAATGCGTCAACTCTAAGTTTTTCAAAGGTTCTTTAAACCTGCAAATACACAATGTCCTCAGAAGTGGTCAGGTTTCTGCACCAGTTAGCCAACGGCATCGCAACAACCAACATGGGGAGCTTAACGGTGTGAGGACGTTCCAGCGCCTTGGGACATCCTCCTGACTTTAAAGGCGCTATACAAATGTAATTTTATTGTTGTTGAAGCTAAGGAGGTTCCAGCAGTGCAGCACACAAGTGGAAGTCTGCAAATATCAGTCTAAGATGTGTGCACAGCCGCAGATACTCATAAGACCGATAAATCATCAGAGCTACATCCCATGCAACAATGAGTTACCTATCTGTGTACACAAATGCACACAATGGGGTTTGTGTGTTCACTGATCCACACAATAGGCTCTCTCCGTACACTCTATGCACTCAGTGGGCAAACAGCTTGCACCTATCAAACTGTACTAGACAGTGAGGCACAGTGTTTGGCAATATTGCTGCCAATGGCCACCTTATCTATCTTGATAGCTCTGTCTGTGGAGGTGGAGAATACATTACCACCCCGAGAGCTGGCTTTACTCTGGCAGCATTGGAGGGAGGAGATAAAGGTCAGTATTTTGCAAGCCAAGGTTTTCTGCTCACCAATACTGAATGAGCGGCACACATCAACCCTGGGATCAGAACGGTCTGCAGACACATACACACTTGGCACACGTGTGATTATGTATGTGTGTAGCCATTGGTACAGTGTAAAGAGGATACATTTCACAGCATTGACAGACGAGGTGTTTCTGCTACAATAGTCTCTGCCATGTGGCATCAGACACACAGACAATGGACTATATCCACACAGTCTGTTAGTCTCAGTCTCAAATATAAGATCTTCACACACTCACAAGCACATAACTGATCTTACTCAATACCAGATTCACTCACAAAATTGGCACCAACCATACTAATGGTGCTAATCCTTTAGTTAGGTTGAGTTTAAGGTTGGGCTGAAAGATGGTTGCGAGATGCCACCTGTGTGAAAGGCGCTCTATTAATGCAGGTGGTGTTGTTGGCAGTAGTTAACAATAGACTATCACTGCTATAGGGTGTGCACACTATCCTAGTCCCAGATCCAACATGCACTCACAGTTACTCAATGGAGTCCGCCAGTACATTGGACATGTCATTAGTTTCCATTTCAATCTCAAACCCAGATCCAAAGACACAGAATAGCCTCATGGAGTGTTGTCAACTGGTGGGCCCTTCCATGCAAGTTTCCCTGGAGCCTAGTTACCACTGGCTAAAGGTTGGGTGGCAGGAGATTTTAAGCATGCGATGTACGCTGCCAAATAAAACGCCTTTCTCTGCAATACTTGATTTGTCTCCATTGGAAAGGGAGCAGAGCTGGCACCAGTGTTGCTGATGCTGGGATGAGGAGGGATCTTTGTGGTATTCCTGTAGGTTGCACTGAGCTGGCGACGAAGAGTTTATACGTAGATTCCTTCCTGGTTGAAGTTGGAGATCTGGAGATCCTTCACGTTGGCAGGATCCTGTTGACAATTGAGGGGCGTTGGCTGGAGTAGAAACTCTGAGGAGAGAAGAGGACAGGAGTGAAAGAATTAGATTGGTACATAACTGGTCCTCATACTATCAGAGGACCAATCTGTGCTAGCATTCTCACCTCTGAGAAGGAGGTTTGTGGTTCAAGGTCCATGTCAGGATGTTGAACTCACACTCTAGGCTGACACTCCAATACAGTACTTGAGAATTCTGAAATGTTGGAGGTGCCTTCCTTCTGATGAAACATTAATCTGAGGCCCTGTTTGACTGTTCATGTGGTCCGTTCATAAAGAGAAGGAAGTTTTTCCTGGTGTCCTGGCCAGCAATCTCACTTATAAAATTAGTTATTCACATGGTTGTTTGTGGGACATCGCTGTGTGCAAATTGACTGCTGCGTTCACCCACAAAACAGTCATGACACATCATGGTAAAGTCCTGTGAAGCACTTTGAGACATCTCAACAATGTGGTAAGGCATGATACCCACAAAATACAGTCAATTCACTTTACTGTATATTCTGTGAAGTGCTTTGAGACGTGATAAATATATCAAATGCAAGGATTATTATTACACCAAAGGATTATTACCATTATTACTGTACTATTATTTCTTGGTTAGCTTTGCCATATTCTCAAGGACATGAAGGCATTTTAAAGTTAGAAAGCAGTTCTTTAAGTCAATCCACTGGGAGCAAGTGGAGCCTGGTAAGGAATGGCCATCTGGTTGCCTACAAATACCCAGTGACTACACAAATCCTGTGAAGCACTTTGGGAAATGTGGTGTTATTAGATATAAATTCAAAAATTATTATTATTTGTAGGCAAGAGGCCCATTTGCAGCAATGTCACCCCAGACAGTAATAACAACAACTACAACAAATTGTATTTATACAGCACCTTTCACTTTGAGATGACGTCCCAAGGCATTGGACAGTCAATGGTTTGCATCCGAGCTGGGGGTTGGAATCAAGAGGGGTGGGGGGCCAAGGTGAATGAGGTGGGAAGATGATCAAAGAGGAAGGCCTTGTGACAGGCCTTGAAGGACACCGGGAGAAAGTCTCTTTTCCTTTCAAATAGGCTTTAGTCAGAAAGTTGTGTGTTCAAGCCCCATGTCGCGATTTGGACTCGCAAGGTCTAGACTGACACTCCAATACAGTTCTGGGGTGTATTGCATTATTGGAATATGGCCCTTTGGATGAAACGTTAAACCAAGGTTCTGTCGGCCTGTTCAGATGGATGTTAAAGATCCTGTGGCACTATTCGAAGAGTGAAGTGTGTTTCTCCCGATTCCTGGCCAACAATCCCCCAGATACATTTGATCATTCACTTCATGGTTGTTTGTGGGACACTGCTGTGCCAAATTGGCTGCCGTGTTTGGGAGGCAGGACCTCAGTTTAACATCGCACCCAAAGGACAGCACCTCTATCAATGCAGCAATCCCTCAGAACTGTATCGGAGTGTGTCAGCTTAAACGTGAGCTCACAGATCCCGACATGAGGCTTGAAAACACAACATTCTGACCTGGAGGCGAGAGCACGAGCAACAGAGCAAGATTGAGAACCCACTGAAACTAGTGAAGAAGCCTGTGGACAACTCTGTAGTAGTAGTAATAATAATAATCCTTGCATTTGTTATAGCACCTTATCACGTTGTTGAGACATCTCAAAGTTATTTTTGAAGAGATTATTACCCACGGAAAAGTGATGCACCAATTGACTAACAACAGGGTTCCTACTTATTGCTCGGTAAACAGAGGCATGTGGAGTAAAGAAATTTGCCTAACGTTTCGCCCCACCCAGGAATTGAACCCGGGTCCTCGCAGAGCGAGTGCTCTCACCACTGAGCTGCAGGGCTCTTTCTGCATTTGCTCACCTTTTCCCTTAGCCTGAGCGGGAGCTTCCTCTGAGGGTAGAATGCTGATCCTTGAGCCCGTGCGTTGAATGAACTGCAGGAGGTTTATCTGTCGCAGGTCCTTGGTCACATCCTCCAGCTCCTGTTGTTTCCTCTGCATCAGGAAAAGAAAAGCCGGCATGTCTTTGCGTTCTACAACAGACTTATTGCAAGTGCTTGCACTTCCCTTCCAGGATTGTGTTGGGAATCGCTGCGATTAATGCAGAATCAATTGGTATTTAAAGTATTTAAGTTCAGATATTTAAACATCTCAAAGCATTTCACAGAATATACTGCAAAGTGAATTGACTGTATATTTTGTGGGCGAAACACGACAGCCAATTGCACACAGCAATGTCCGTTGGGGAGTTGGGATTAAACAGGGTTGCGATAGTAGTTAATCTGTGCATTTGATATTAGCATTTGAGACTCTCAACAATGTGATGAGGTGCTATGTCAAATGCAAGGATTATTATTAGCATCTATAACTTCTCAAAATATTTCACAGTATTTACTGTAAAGTGTAGAGACTGTGTATTGGTATGCAAACACAACAGCCAGTTGCGCACAGCAATATCCCGCAAACAGCCTTGGACTGAGTGACCAATTTTGTTTGAGGGGATTGTTGACCGGGACATTCGAATAGTGTCATGGGATCTTTAACGTCCACCTGATCAGGCAGACGGGACCTCGGTTTAACATCTCACCTGAAGGACGTCACCTCTGACAATGAAGCACATTCACAACACTGAACTGGAGGGTCAGCTACAAATTGAGCTCAGAAAGGTGGAAAAAGGGAGTAAAGGCTCACTGAACCTTCTCTTAATAATATTACTAGTGATAATAATTCTTGTATTTGATATAGCGCCTTTTCACATCTTTGAGACATCTCAAAGCGCTTCACAGAATATACTGTAACAAATCAATCGTGGATTGAGTGTCCCTAATTTTTTTAAACGTGATTATTACCCCCAGAAACACAACCTGCTCTCAGTTCCCACCTTCCTGGCGAATTTCAATGAAATCAAGTTCACTTGCAACAGACTCTTCTGCAGTCTTGTATAGGCCAGAAGTATGAACTTTGTGCATTGTTTGAAGTTTCTCTAATAAATAAAAACATCCTTGGCTGCTTAAACCTTCATGTGAGATTGTCTTCTGGTTACAGGCCCCCAGGCTCCTCTTCTCCTACCCCCTCCTCTCTCACCATCATCATGACCAAAATGAAACCAACCATCTGCTCCCTCGACGCCATCCCTAACTCCCAGCTCCACCTCTTTATGATATTATTATTGTTGTATGATACTGCAGTGTAGGAAGAGTTAAAGGTTCAAGGTCCGTGAATGTTCAGTGTGATATTTAACATAACGACCTACCACCTGATTGCAACCTGACTGGCATTATCTCAGCTCCTCTCTGGCTCACACTGGGCACAGTAACCCTGCCCGCGAGGCAGATCTGTAACAGTGACAGAATGGTGGTCTCCGTCATTGCCGTGGCAATTCCCTTGGGAAGGGGGGGTGGGGGGCAGAGAGGAATAAAAGCATTCCCTGAATTGCTCTCCTGCTGACGTTTAATTGACAGCTCCGTGCTTCACGCTCTCTAACCCGATAAGGTTGTTCCATTTCGATGCATTAATTAAGCAAATGTGATTGAAGCTTGAGATAGTGTCAGGCTGTGGATTATGCTCATACACCAGAGGTAGTTCCACACAGACCATCACAGCTTTCTGTAAATCAAGTGGAGTCCAGTAGTGGAATGGTTAGCATGCTCGCCTCGCGAGCGTAGAGGACTCAGGTTCGATTCCCGGGCAAGGCGAAGCTTTGTTTCTTTGCTCCACAGACCTCTGTTTACCTTGCGGTAAATAGGAATCCGGTTGTTAGTCGATTGGCAGATAGCTTTTCTGGCAGTAATAATCCCTCAAAAAAAATTTCAATCCACGTGTTTGTAGGACACTGCTGTTCCCAATTTCTTTATTTTCAGTACCAGCCTTTCATGCGGAATTCCATCAAAGGCCTCACTGAAATTCAGATATATAGCATCCACTGTCTTACCCTCGGCAAGCTCCTTTGTCACACAATCAAACAGAAACAGTAAATTAGTTTGGTCTGACCTCCCCTTCATAAACCCATATTGACTATATTTTATCATTTTATTACTGTCTAGATGCTCCATGATTTTGTTTCCAACAAGAGTCTCTATAACTTTACCCACAATGGTAAATAATGGTAATAATCCCTTAAAAAACAATCCACGCGTTTATAGCGCATTGCTGTGTGCAATTCGCTGCTGCGGTTTGTGCACAAAATACACAGTCCCTGCACTTTACACAGTCCCTACACGCTCTTTGAGACGTCTCAACCATGTGATAATGCGCTATAATCAAATGCAAGGATTATTATTATTATTATTAAATTCATGTATTAGAAATCCTTGGGCCAATCTTCCTGCCTGTCTGCCTGTACAGTCAGATGTTAAAGATCCCACCACACACACCTCTTGAAAAGAGGTATTTCTGACCAACAATCCTTCAGATAAAACTGATCATGGTTGTCCATGGGACGTTGCTGAGCACAAATTGGCTGTCAAATTTAGTGTCAATCCATGTTTGTCCCTACACCTTAAAGATAAGCACTTTGAGACGTTTCACACGTTATAAGCGCTGGATCAGTTGTAAGGATTAGTGGAGTCCTGTAGCTCAGTGGTTAGAGCATTCGCTTTGCCAGCAAGAGACCTGAGTTCAATTCCAGGCAGAGGGCAAAACCTTGGGCAAGTTTCCTTACTCCACACAGAGCCTAATAATAATCCCTTCAAAACAATAATAAATTGGTTATTTTCGATCCACGACTGTTTGTGGGACATTGCTGTGCGCGTTCGCCCACAAATATAGTCAATTCACTTTATAGTATATTCTGTGAAGCGCTTTGGGACGTCCTCCCGACGTGAAAAGCGCTTTATCAAATGCAAGGCTTATTATTATTCTTGTTGTTTTCCTGCACAGAGTGAGTTACTGAGACGGATCAGATGGGTATGCGATTGAGAAGCTCTCCAGTGCCCTCAACTGGTGAACTTGCTCAGATACCTTTGCCTGTGAGTGTCCAGAGACGGCTCGGTCACACAGCAACAACGTGATATGTACAGCGATGTCATGCAGGAGAGCGCCTCAGATGCTGTGACTGGTGTGCGGCAGCGGGTGGGGGGGGTGGGGGCGGTAAGGGGGTGAACATGTATTTAATACAGACCTCCACACAGCAGGATCACCCCATCTCTGTATGCACAACCTTGTTGGAGCCAATCAGTGGCCCAGAGGTAAACGCACTCCAATTTCTGTCTCAACGCTCAGACCCACGGCTGAACTGCGTGTGTGTGTGTGTGTGTGTGTGTGAATGTCACAGCTCACACCTGATGACTGGGCCAGATGCTGCAATCACCCAGTGCCTGTGAAAGAATGCACCCCAGTGTGCCAGCCTGGGACAGTGCGAGCACCCTCACAGGGTCCAAGGTGCTACTCCGATGCAGGGCTGGGGCTGTGTTGCAGTGTCGGAGGTGCTGTCCTTTGGATAAACCCAGGTCCTGTGGGATCTTTAACATCCACCTGTCCAGGCAGACAGGCAAGAACATTGACCCAGCGATTCCTGCTTCATCAACATGAGTTGGTAGGAGTTGCACGGGTCTGTCTGGAGCTAAAAGTGAGATATGAGCACAGTTCACAGGTGCTAAGATAATAATAATAATAATTCTTGCATTTGATATACCGCCAATCTACTGGTAACCGGGAGTAAGGAAACTTGCCTAAGGTTTTGCCCTGACCAGCTCTCACTTGCGAGGCGAGTGCTCTGACCACTGAGCTACAGGAATCCCCAAGGAGGAGGAACAGGAGCAGTTGGTGAGAAGCTGGTGTGACCGACCCACTGACCTGTATTTCCTCTTGCGCCATCTCGACGGCCGCCTCCACCTCCTGCACCTCCTCCTCCAGCCTCAGGCCCTCCTCAGCCGTCACTCTCAGCTCTTCCTTCAACTCGAGGAGCTTGTCGGCGAGCTCCGCCCCCTCCCCAGTGCTCTGAGCCTCCCTGTGAGTCTCAAGAGCCTCCTCCAGTCCCCGAGCATTGCCCTCGCACTCCGCCAGCTTCTCCTCGCACTCCCTCAGCCTCGCCTCCACCTCCTCCAGCTGCTGCCTCAGCTCCGCCCTGTGGAGCTCCTCTCCTTTCAGCTCGTTCTCCCAGAATTCCACCTGCTCGGCCCCTGGCCCTGGTCCCTGCAGACGGGCCGCCTCCTGGCTCTCCTCAGGCTCTTCCCTCGCTTTCAGCTGCTGGATTTCCCCCTCGCTGGCCTCCACCTGTGCCTGCAGGCTCTGCAGTGCCTCCTGCTGGCTGGCGAGGCGCTGGCTCAACCCCAGGGCCGTGTCCTCCCCCTCACCCTCCGGCGGGACTTCCTTCTCAGGCTGCTTGACCTTGACCTTGCATTCCCTGCCCTTGCCCAGGGATTCCAGCCACTCTCGCGCCCCTTCCGCAAAGGTCAGCGATTTCCTCTTGGGCTCCTTGGCGGGATGGTGGGCTTTCTCGCTCTTGTTGCGCAGCTTGGCCAGCGGGGGGAGGCTCTGGCGATGCAAGTTCCTCTCAGGCCCCCAAGCCTTGGCCACCGGGGCTCTCTGGCTGAGGGATGGCCCCGTGCGGTTCAGGATCAGCTGCACCTCCTTGACTTGTTGCCCCCATTTACTCAGCGATGCCAACAGCTTCTCATCTGGGGTGAAATGCCTTTCAACGTCTTTCCGCTTCTCCTTCAGAGTGTACCGTCCCGGGCAGCCTGTAGGCGGGTGGGGGGGGGGTGGTGGGGGGTGGGGGGGGGGGGGGGGCGGCAGTGGGGGGAGCGGAAATGTGGAGGAGAGAGACAGAACTTGTCTTTATTGTGTTTTAAAAATAAAAGAATAATCGTTGCATTTAATACAGCGCCTTATCACGTCGTCGAGACGTCTCAAAGCGCTTCACAGAATATATAGCGGAGTGACTGTGTATTTTGTGGGTGAAACGCAGCAGCCAATCGCACACAGCGGCGTCCCTCAAATGGATTGAGTGACCACATTTTTTTTTTTAATTTTTTTTTTTTAAATGGTTTATCTTTGCATTATCAAAACATCGGTGCGGCCGGGGGCAAATAGTCAACACAATTAAGCAAATGATCCAATTTATTGAACCGTCCTTGCATTTCCATTTGCCTTTGTTTGGTGGATGCTCCAGTCCTGGGTTGCACTGCATTGTCAGAACTGCAGAAATTCACAGCCCGGCTGAAGCCCATCATGTCTGTGATGCTCTATTGGGAGACCATCCATTCGGTCCCATTTACAAGCCTTTTCCCAGGCTCTGCTGATATGTCAGCCTGGTGCAACGGTAGCCTCTCACCTCTGAGTCAGAAGGCTGTGGGTTCAAGCCCCACAAGGGAACGTGGAATCACATAATCTAAAATGAGATTCCAATGCAGCGCTGGGGGTGTATTGCATTGTCCAAGGAACCGTCCTTCGGATGAAACGTTGAACCGTCTGCCTGTTCAGGTGGATGTTAAAAAAAACACTACTCAAAAAGAGAAGGGAGTTTCTCCTCCTGGTGTTTTGGCCAAAAATCCCCCCAAAAAACTGGTCACTCACTCCATGGCTGTTTGTGGGACATTGCCGTTTCATCCACAAAATACACAGTCACTCTACTTGACAGTATACCCTGTGAAGCGCTTTGAGACGTCTCAATGACATGATAAGGTGCTATATGGAGTCCTGTAGCTCAGTGGTTAGAGCACTTGCCTCGCAAGCGAGAGACCTGGGTTTGATTCCCGGCAGGGCGAAATGTTGGGCAAGTTTCCTTACTCCAGACCCCTCAGTTTATTCAGCAGTGAGTAGGAATCCAGTTGTTAGTCAATTGGAGAATTGCTTTTTTTGGAGATAATAATTGCTTCAAAAAATTAATAAAACTAATTTGGTCACTTCAATCCACGACTGTTTGTGGGACGCTGCTGTATGTAATTGGCATTTCGCCCACAAAATATAGTCAATTCCTTTACAGTATATTCTTTTAAGTGCTTTGAGACGTCTCAAATATGTGATAAAGCGCTACATCAAATGCAAGGATTATTATAATACATTTTGATTCATAAAATGCCCTTCATGTCGGGAGAACATTTTATTTATTAGATCATTGAAAGATAGTTTAGTCCCATTTCCTTGCTTTTTCTCCATTCCCCTGTAAGGGGGTAATGAAAATATTGGCTTAATGCAGTGTAATAATTGATCTCTAATGTAACCTGATCTGAAAGCATTCTCTCCCCCAACGAGCAGAGTCGGACGCTGGAAGATGCAAGTTTGTTGTGGAATTCAACCTCACTGTGCGAGCCTAGGGATGGTTTACGGGAGAGTCAGAGGGAGAGAGACAGAGGGAGGGAGAGAGACACAGAGGGAGAGAAAGAGAGAGACAGAGGGAGAGAGAGACAAGAGGGAGTCAGAGAGAGTCAGAGGGAGAGAGAGTCAGAGGGAGAGAGAGAGAGTCAGAGGGGAAGAGACAGGGGGAGAGAGAGAGTCACAGGGGCGAGACAGAGGGAGGGGGAGAGTCGGGAGTGGGGGTGAGAGACAGAGGAAGAGAGAGACAGAGAGCGGCACAGAATGTGATTTGAACGACAAGGCAGCGACACAGAGGAAAGAGAGAAAGAAACAGAAGAGAAGAAGGAAGAGACAGATAGTAAACAAATAAAGAATCTGTGTCTTTTACGTTGGAAGGACACCTCAAAGCATTTACTGGGAAGTGTAGTGACTGTGTATTTTGTGGGTAAACACGGCGGTCAATCAACACAGGAGTAAACAGTATGTTTTATATCAATGAACAATATCCTAACTTACTCCAAAATATGTACGAGTAAAGACACAAAAATATGTCTGGAAACGACACAAAGGAGAGAGGACGGAAACCAGAACAAATCTAAGCAACAAACATCTGGGGAAAACACTGACCTATCTGCAAACAAGACCTCTGGTGTTCATTGGTTGCAGTGTGACCTCTCTTTCTCCGGAGGGAGCTGCAACCCTTAACAGGCTGCTTTTTATTTGTTCAGCCGGGTGTCTGAGGTGTGCGGAAACCCATCACCGTGGTTAAGAGTCTCCAAACCAAGCTGGGAATTCCATGCATCCCACCACACATGGAAATCCCAGAGATAGATGCTCTCTCCTTGGAGGGACGTATCCTGTTTACCAAATTCCTGAAAATTATTAGGAGCAGGTTGGCGAGAGCCAAGGTTTGGGGACCCCAGAGTGTGCGTTGGATACAAAGGAAGGACTGCAGTGGGAACTATTACTCTGTTAGTCTACTGCAGTATCTGTGACCTTCCACAGAGGGAATAACTTCCACAAAGCCCAGGACTGCAGTGACTTTTAGATTGAACTGAAAGTTGCAAACAGTTGAAAATGTTTCAGATGTTTTCCAGAAACATTGTGAAGAAACATAATGAAAAAAATATTCCATTCCCCAGGGATGGTCTACAATCGTCTCCTTGGTCTCCTTGGAGGCTGAACTGGTTTCAAGGTGACATGGCTGGCAATGGGATGTCGGAATCGAGCCAGCCCTCTGTGATGGTCTCTAGTCTGGTTCCTGAGCCAGGCAGGTCCGCAGTATCCCAGGACACTACCGCTCACAGCACAGCCCATCGGCAGGACCTGGAAGGACACAGCCCTAACACATAGGGTGGCCCTGTCTGGGTAAGCAGTGGGAAAGCTTGCCAGACAGCATACAGCAAACGCTTTTCTGGGGGTAGTAAACCCTTTAAAAAAAATAATAATTTGGTCTCTCAATCCATGACTGATTGTGGGACATTGCTGTGCGCAAATGGCTGCTGCCTTTCGCCCACAAAATACAGTCATACACACTTTACAGTTTATGCTTTGAAACATCTCAACTGCGCGATGAGGCGTATATGACATGTAAAGATTATTATTATATTTGTTACTATTATAAACATATAAACAGAGAGCAGACCCTGTCCTTACCCATGGCTTGTGCCAGAGCGATGACCACCTCCTGACAGGTGGTGTTCTCGTTCACCCCACAGACCACCCGCTGGATTCCGTCCACCCACACCTTGAGCTCCATCCTCCGGGGCTTCGGGAAGGGGGGGGTGGGAATGTTAGGGCTGGACCTTCATGAGGTGATGACGGACTCCAGTCTCCCCTCGGAGCTGGGCATCCAGTCTTCTCCCTGCTGAAGCTGCAAATAGGGGGAAAAAATGATCTTTTTCAGACTGACGACAACGAGCCTTTGTAGGAACATCACAGACTGACTGACCAACCTCCACACCACTCAATTACCGCAGTCACTTGTTAGCTAAACTGAAATATCACTGGCGTGACTATGCCAACTCCCTGCTTGTCGGCCTTCCCAATTCTTCCCTCCACAACCTGCAGATCATCCAGAACTCTACAGCTCGTATCCTCTCCCGCACCGGGCTCCATGACCTTATCACCCCCACCCTCACCCGGCTTCACTGGCTCCCCATCCCTCAGTGGATCAAGTTCAACATTTTTGTCCTCACCTTCAAGGTCCTCCTTGGCCTTACCGCCTCCTACCTCCCCGACTGGATAACCCCTTATCAACCTGTCCACTCCGTCTGCTCCATGTCCCTCGCCCGGCCTGCCACCATCGGCGGTCAGGCCTTCAGCCTCTCCGCCCCCACCCTCTGGAACTCCATTCCACATTCCATTTGCCTCGCTACCCCACGTGAAGAGTGCTCTATAAATGCAAGTTGTTGTAATACTTTCTGGGCATTGCATTTAGTCTTCTCCCTGCTGAAGCTGCAAATAGGGGGAAAAAGTGATCTTTTTCAGACTGGCGACAATGAGCCTTTGCAGGAACATCACAGACATTCCAACAATCTACCTTTGGGATTTCCAATGTTTCTAATACTCCTTCTCATGTGTTTATCTATTCACTTCCAGGTGCTTTAATGGTAATAATCCTTGCATTTGATACAGTGCCTTATCACATCTTCAAGACGTCTCAAAGTGATTCCAAAATATACGGCATCAACAAGAACAACATTTTTTTTCACATCATGCCTTTCACGTCAGGAGGACGTCCCAAGGCGCTGGACAGACAGAATTACGGACCCGAGCTGGGGGTCGGGGAGGGTGGAGAGCAGGGAGATCGAAAGCATGTAAAGTGTAGTGACAGTAATTATTATTATTATTATGGGTGGGGGGGGGGTGGTGGTTGGGGAAAGGGAGGAAGCCGGTTATTGAATACCTCACAGCTCATTCATTAAACCCTTTTCCTGTAATTATCCGGTCAAAATAAAAACCGCAAAGTGCAGCGTTTACGTTTCTGCCGCTGTCAAAAGATGAACAAAGGGAGCGATGACTGATGTGCTTTGCGCTGCCTGACATTTCTGCTCTAAACCCTTTGTCTGTGTGTGTCTGTGTGTGGTGTGAACTGGAGATCTCTGGGATTAAAGAGCATAAAAGAGATGCCAGCCAGCGCAGCTCTCCGGCTTTAAACAGGCTCCACTCACCATGGGGCTGTGTGTGGCCGGCAGCCATCATCATAATAATAGACATAGAACATAATTATATAAATATAATAGACCCCCAGTCTCTGGAACTCCATCCCACAGTCCCTTCACCTCGCTCCCTCCCTGGCATACTTCAAGGCACGTCTCAAGACCCTCCTCTTCGACCGCACTTTCGGTCAAACCTCCTGCCCCTACCCTCCCTGCCCTCCACCCCTTCTGATCCTGACCCCCAGCTCGGGGGTCCAAATCCCTGACTGTCCAGTGCCATGGCATGACATGAAAGGCACTGTGTAAATGTCATGTGTTGTTGTTGTTGTTGTTGCATAATGATAGACAGTGATTATCCCTTCGCTTATTCCTGCAGTTGATCAGTTTGTCACTACTCACAGCTCATAACTGGAGCCATCGCGCCACAGACATTGTAAAAAGAGATCTACTTTTGTTGCTGGTGTAGAAACAGGGATGGAATATTTTTGGTGGGTGGCGTATGATGCCATCTTCCTCCACTTCGAGTTACTCTGAGGCGTAGTGACTGTCACACATACAATCATAGTAACTGATCTGTTCCTTCCTACAAATTACATTGGGTTGAAAGACCTGTTAATCTAATAATCCCTGGATTTGGTACAGAGTCAATGAGCTTCACAGGAATTACTGTAAAAGGGAGTGACTGTGTATTTGTGGGCAAACTCACCAGTACAATTGCACATCGCGGTGTCCCACAAACAGACACGGATGGAGTGAGTGACCAATTTTATTTGGGGATTGATGGCCAGAACACCGGGAGAGAGAGAGAGAGAGAGAGAGAGAGAAACTCCCTTCCTCTTTTTTCGAATAGTAACATGGGATCTTTAACATCCACCTGAACAGGCAGACGGGAACATGAGCTCAGCTCCTGATGGGCAGCTGGCACAGCCATTCTGACCTGGGAGAGAGCATGACGGGCTGACAGCAGGACAGAGGCAATCCCGAAATTCCGTCTCAGTGCTGGGACCCAGGAGCTGAGCTGTCCCAGCCGGGCAATGTCACACCTGCGTTCAATGCTCTTCTCCCTTTCACTGAGATGGAAATTCCATTCAGACAAGTTCCCAACAATTCCACCACCGTGTGTGCGTACCTGCGACCTGGTGCAGGAACAACAGCAGCAACAACTACAACAAGATGCATTTATATAGCGTCCTTCTTGTGGGGTGGCGTCTTGGAGCACTTAACAATGGCAAAGCCCGACACTCAGCCAGAGAGAGGGGAGGTGACCATAAGCATGGCCTTTAGATGCGATCTGAAAATGGACAAAGAGCGGGCAAGGCAGAGGAAATGAGGGAGATGGTTCCAGAGTCTCAGGTGTAGTGGCTGAAATCATGACTGCCAATAGTAGAGCGGAGAGGACGCTAGAGTGTGCGTTGGGGTAACTGCTGGAGTCTAGCCAGATAACACTGCAGATACTGCTGTCTATCAAGCATTCCCGCGGCTTGTCCAGCTAGGACCACCCCATCCATTAGATGATGCGTTTAATTTATGCCCCTCTACGCCATTCTCCACCTCTCCCCAGCAGACAGACACTGACCAACACACTCCGACCACCGCACTGACCGGCACGCACTGCTTTGATCGATACGCACTGACCGGCACACAAATACTGACGGTTACCACGCTGACCGACAGGCTGACCAACATATTGACAGACACACACCCACTGACCGGCAGACACTGCCGTGTCAGGCTCCGCACTGCCCTGCAGTGTCTCCAGGCTGACTGAGCTCCCACAGGAAGTGTTGGAGACAGAGCTTACACTCAGTGGGCAGCACTAATCACTCTGAGCCTCTGCTCTGAGCTCAGCAAAGTTTCCAAACTTCCAAATCCTTTCCTTTCTATCTGACTGACCTCGAGCAGTCACACTCACCAGTCCCGCCTACGAGTCACACAGCCCCCAGGGCTCCAACCAACACAGGCACGAGGCTACTGCAACACGCTTGGTTACATATGACATGATCACATACATGACATTGGTGTGTTGTCTGACAGTTTATGGTTGAGCAGTTTCCGAGTCAGCCTCAGAGTCACTCACACTCTCATAATAATATAATAATCCTTGCATTTGATATAGCACCTTATCACACTGTTGAGACGTCTCAAAACTTTTTGCAGAATGTTCTGTAAAAAGGATTGACTGTGTTTTGTGGGGGAAATGCAGCAGCCAATTGCACACCGCGGTGTCCCACACAGTCGTCGATAGAGTGACCATTCTTTTTTCCAAGCCCCACATCGGGGCTTTAAGCTCACAGTTTAGACCGACTCTTCAGTGCAGGCCTGGGGGAGCACTGGGTTGGGCTGTCTCCCTGCTCGATGGGCTTTGAAGACCCTGCAAAGCTCAGCAAAAAGAGAAGGGAGTTTCTCTCTCCCTGTTTTCTGGCCAACAATCCTCCAGATAAAATTGGTCTCTCACTTCATGGCGGGTCATTGCTGTGTGTGGTGTGAACGACACAAGACACAGTCATTACACTTGACAACAATTACTCGTGAAGCACTGCGACACGATTAGTGCCTGTATCAAATGAAAGGATTATAGCCATTTGATAATAATTGATTATAATTAAAAGATCATAACCAATGTCAAAAATGTAAAACAGAAAGAAACCAAATGCTGCTTTCACTCCAGACCCAGGAAATCCCAGCGATTTGCAAATGTTCAGTTTAAACATCCACAAACAGTCCATTCACTGTATCACTGACCGCACGCAGCATGTGTCAGCATCTCAGGTGTGTCAGGAACCTGCTATCAATGGCAAACTGTGTGGTTTTAGCTGGTTAGACTCCAGCAGTTACCACCCAACACACACTCTGGGGTCCCCAAAGCCTCACCAACCTGCGCCTAACACTTTCCAGAATTAGGTAAACAGAATATGTACCATCAGGGAGAGAGGGAGGGAGTGTGCGTTTCATTCCAACAATCTAATTCTGGAATTTCTGTGCGTAGTTGGGAGGCTTGGAATTCTCCGCTTGGTTTGGATACTCTTAATCACAGCGATGGGTTTCCTCATGTCGCAGACACCCACCCGGCTGGGCACCATAAAAGTGCGTCAGCAAAGTGATCCATACATTCACCTGCCTCTCCAGCAGCTGCCAGCAACTCATTCCAGCCTTTCCCAGTTTTTCAGCATCCAAGTGACTTGAGATTCGAGGCATTGGCGGGGGATGGAGGGGGTTGGTGGGGGGAGGGGGTCTACAAGAGTAGTCTCGATGTACGAAATGCAGAGGTTTTTGGTAAAGATGCTTCTTTCTCCTCCTCAATCTAAGAGGGACACAGATCGTCAGAGCCGGTCAGGCAGCCAAGGGAACTTGTCACCCCACCCACCCTCACTCTAGAGCAGTGTACAGCCCACTCCTCCACCCGCAGCTAGAATAGGAGCACAGCAGCACACGTTACCCTCTCGATCCACCGTTACTGCATCGCATCAGGACGTTAACCTCGCAACCTGACATAATTCCCCATCACACAGCAGTCCGACCGCCAATCATTAAACACACTCACACACTTACTCACACACACACACAGACAGACATTAACACACACACACAGATATTCACA